AGACAAGGGTAATCTGAGAGAAAGGTCAGAGAGGAGGCTGGGTCAGTAACAGGTTCAAAGATGCACATCAAGACTGGATCAAAGGAACAAGATGGAAGGCAATACAAAAAAGAACTAGTGCAAAGTTTAGGTTTAAATAGGCCACTTGGCAGCAGAGGACTTGCACGAGCAACCACATGTGGGAATACTCATACATGTGGTCAATGATTAACGTACAGTCCGCTTTTTTGTTCATAGAAATATGCGCACTAGCCAAACAGCCCATCTTAGCCTAACAGTTGGCACCAAGTTCCTAACACAACCAGAATCCTTGTTTAATTGTTTCATAAAAGAAAAGACAAAACATCCAGGTTGAAAGGGTATAGGATGGTAACAAAATTGATCTTGCCGCCTCCACAACTCCAAAATACTCCCCTTCTTAACCAACAACACCACAAAGCTTCTAATCCACTCCCTTTTTATCTCTCACCTTGACTTCTGCAACTCCCTCATCATTGGCTTAGCTTTACATAGGCTGTCCATCATGAATGCTGCTGCCAGACTCTTCCATCTTACCAACTGTTCAGTGTCTCTTAGGCCCCATTCACATTATCGCGTAGCAGGAATAGCGTTTTGACAGCACAATTTTTACACAATAGGGGCAGCCCATTCACTTCAAAGGGCTGCCTTATACATGTTTGTCACCCAAAAAGAAGCTCCTGTTCCTTTTCAGGTGACAAGCTTCACACAGCTTTGAAAGACATGGTTTCCTATGCGACAACTGCACCCAGGGGCGGACTGACCATTTGGAAACTCAGGCACTGCCCGAGGGCCCGGGGTCAGTAGGGGGCCCCATGAGATGCCCCTGGTACTTTTTCATAGGCTTTTTTGAGTTTGGGCAAGGACACAGGGGCCCCATGATCCCCTATTGCCCGGGGGCCCCATGAGTTGTCAGTCTGCCCCTGACTGCATCAGAATTGCATCGCATTTAGGGTGCCATTGAAGGATAATGGCACCCAAACATACACCGCGTGTTGCACTGTGATTGCGGCACGATTTGGAATTGTGGGCAGAATCATGGCAATTATGACCATTATTCCAATTTGCAAAGTGTGAATGAAGCCCTACCATTCTCTTCCCATCCCTCCACTGGCTTCCACTCACCCAACAGATTATTAATATTATAGGTACTTATGTAGTGCCATCAACTTGCACAGAGCTTTTACATATATATTGTACATTCACATCAGTCCCTAACCCTCAAGGAGCGTACAATCTAAGGTCCCTAACACTCTTACCTACACATACTAGGGCCAATTTAGGCAGGATCCAATTATCCTACCAACATGTCTTTGGAGCGTGGGAGGAAATCGTAGTAACTGGAGGAAACCCACACAGGCACAGGGAGAACATGCAAACTCCATGCAGGTAGTGCTGTGGTTGGGATTCGAACCAACGACCAATCAAAACCGTTCTATTCACGCCTCTCAAGAAATCCTGCTCTCTAGTTCCCTTGTCCCCTCCACTTATGCTTGCCTCCTGGACTTCTCCAGCACTTTTCTCATCCTCTGGAACCCCAAATGATCCGACTATCTACCATTCTATTCATGTGCTGTCTTACTAATGGTTAGCCGGGAGCCAACAAACAAAACTGACAGAAGCAGTGTTGTGTTTCATTCCAAAATTGAATTTACTTCTGTGAATAGTTCTGTGTATATGTATGTATGTATGTGTGTGTGTGTGTGTGTATATATATATATATATATATATATATATATATATATATATACTGCTCAAAAACATTAAGGGAACTCTTTGAAAACACATCAGATCTCAATGGGAAAAAATATCATGCTGGATATTTATACTGATATGGACTGGACTGGTAGTGTGTTAGGAAAGTAAGGATGCCCCATTTTTTGATGGAAATGAAAATGATCAACCTACAGAAGACTGAGTTTGTGACACCACGAAAATCAAAGTGAAAAAAATGGTTCAGTAGGCTAGTTTATTTTGCTGAAATTTCATTGCAGCAACTCAAAATGGTACTCAGTAGTATGGCTTTCACGTGCTTGTATGCATGCCTGACAACATCGGGGCATTCTCCTAAAGAGAGGATGGATGGTGTACTGGGGTATTTCCTCCCAGATCTGGACCAGTGCATTATGGAGCTCCTGGACAGTTTGAGGTGCAAACTGGTGGCGTCGGATGGTCCAAAACATGATATCCCAGAGGTGTTCTATTGGATTTATTTCAGACGAGTGTGGGGACCATTCAATGGTATCAATTCCTTCATTCTCCAGGAACTGCCTGCATACTCTTGCCACATGACGCCGGGCATTGTCGTGCACCAGGAGGAACCCAGGACACACTGCACCAGCGTAGGGTCTGACAATGGGTTCAAGGATTTCATCCCGATACCTAATGGCAGTCAGGGTGCCATTGTCTAGCCCAATGGGCAAACTGGGCAAACTATACGGCCCGCGGAGCGTGATACAAAAAAAAAAACCAGCCAGGGCAGGCAAACATTTGCATCATTCAGCGCGCTCAAATGCAATGATTGGCCAGTCTCGCTGCCACTCACATCCTGATAGCCAGTGATTGGCGTGTAGGCGGGGCAGCGTGACGAACGTGAGGGGAGCTAGGCTCCTCTCACAGTCCTCCCTGAAGACCGGAACGGAGCGGGAACATGGCGAGAGGAACGCGCGGAGCAAAGGTAAGTAAAATTTTAATTTAATTTATATTAATTCACACATACACATCATTCATCTACTCTTGGTCCGGCCCCCGGGTCCAATATATGAACCCATTGCGGCCCTCAAGTCAAAAAGTTTGCCCACCCCTGGTCTAGCCTGTAGAGGTCTGTGCGTCCCTCCATGTATATGCTTCCCCAGACCATTACTGACCTACCAAAATGATCATACTAAATGATATTACAGACAGCATAACGTTTTCAACGGTTTTCCAGACACTTTCACGTCTGTCACATGTGCTCAGGGTGAACCTGCTCCCATCTGTGAAAAGCACAGGGCGCCAATGGCGAACCTGCCAATTCTGGTGTTCAATGGCAAATGCCAATCGAACTCTATGGTGCCAAGCAGTGAGCACACTAGAGGATGTCAGACAAGGCAACAAAGGAGTGGCTCAAGAAGAAGCACATTAAGGTCCTGGAGTGGCCTAGTATGAAAATCTGTGGAGGGAGCTGAACATTCGAGTTGCCAAATGTCAGCCACCAAACCTTAAGACTTGGAGAGGATCTGCCAAGAGGAGGAGTGGGCCAAAATCCCTCCTGAAATGTGTGCAAACCTGGTGGCCAACTACAGGAAAGATCTGACCTCTGTGATTGCCAACAAGGGATTTGCCACCAAGTACTAAGTCATGTTTTGTGAAGGGGATAAAATACTTATTTCCCTCATGAACATGCAAATCAGTGCATAATTTGTTAGACATGCATTTCGTGTGAATTTTTTGTTGTTATTCTGTCTCTCAGTGCTACAATACACCTACCAGGGGTGGACTGACAACTCAAGGGGCCCCCGGGCAATAGGGGATCATGGGGCCCCTGTGTCCTTGCCCAAACTCAAAAAAAGCCTATGAAAAAGGTACCAGGGTCATCTCATGGGACCCCCTACTGACCCCGGACCCTTGGGCAGTGCCCGAGTTTCCAAATGGTCAGTTCGCCCGATACCTACCATTCGATTTTTAGACTGATCATTTCTTTGTGAGTGGGCAAACATTCAAAATCAGCAGGGGATTAAATACTTATTTCCTTTCAATGTATGCAAAGAAAGAACTTACAGGTATATGTGTATCAAAGGGAGAATGGAGGAGACCTTTACTGGTATTCTTCAGGAAGCTAAAATGGCTGCAGCTATAGATGGGAAATCTCGATTAACCACTTCAGCCCCAGGATGTTTCCCCCCTTCCTGACCAGGCCATTTTTTGCTTTTTGGCACTGTGCTATTTTAACTGGTAATTGTGTGGTCATGCAGCACTGTACTTTAAATGAAATGTATGTCCTTTTTTCACACAAATAGAGCTTTCTTTTGGTGGTATTTGACCAACACTGGTTTTTTTTTTTTGTGATATAAACAAAAAAAAGACAGAACATTTAGAAAAATTATATTTTCTACTTTCTGTTATAAAATATATCCAATAAACTCCAAATTTAGTCATAAATTTGGGCCAAAATGTATTCTGCTACATGACTTTGGTAAAAAAAAAAATCCCAATACATGTATATTAATTGGTTTGTGTGACAGTTATAGCATCTACAAACTATGGTGTGTGTGTGTGTATGTATATGTGTGTATATATATATATATATATATATATATATGTGTGTGTGTGTGTGTATGTATGTATGTGTATATATCTGGACACACACATATTTCTAAGGGCTCTGTATATTATGTGTTATCAGGCTTTTGATTTTAATCTTTTATGTACATAGAGTACCGTTAGGAGCTGGTAACTCCTTGACAGAACTCCCTCCCCCTGCTGCCCACTCCACAGTGGCAGGTGGGTTGAACAATCTGATAATGTAATCTATTTAAGGTGTTGGGGTTCTTGGAGACACTAGCCTAGTTCTGAAGAAGGGGAATAGGTCTCCGTGTCAGCTAGTCCTGCCATTTTTACTCTACTTGGAGGTGGAGAGTGGTCCTTAGTGTGTGCTTTATGCATTAGATGCTTTCAAGCTCACTTGGTTTGTGAGTATGACCTTTTTGTAATGTACATCTTTCAATAAAGTGTCTAAAGATAATGCGCTGGTCATGTGCGCCCTCTCTGTTTTATGTTTCTCTTTAGTATTGGATCTCCCCGGTCTGAGTAGGGCTGCACAGCCTATTCTTTCCAGTTCTGGTTGCTAAGCGGCCGTATAATCATTGGCCTCTGCTTTGAGTGCTTCTATACATTTCAGAGCGCAAAAGTGTCAATTGTTTTACTTTTTATTCATATCAGTAGATGAGCACAATAGTTTTTTTTTTTATATTATAAATATCACAATCTGACCACATCTCAGCCCCCAACTCTCCCCAGCTTGCATCACCCCCAGGTCACTTCATACATCCAGCTGACTGACATCACTCAGACCCTTATCTCCCCAACACCTCTCCCTGGTCACCCCACAGACACTGCTACTAAAAGAAATCCCTCCCCATTCTGCCCTTGTCATATCCTTTACACTTCTCTCCTGTACATACTTCCCCCTGTCATACCATCCACACTCCTCTCCTGAACATACTGCTCACTGTCATACCCTCCACACTCCTCTCCTGTACATACTGCTCACTGTCATACCCTCCACACTCCTCTCCTGTACATACTGCTCACTGTCATACCCTCCACACTCCTCTCCTGTACATACTGCTCACTGTCATACCCTCCACATGCATGCCTCTTCTTTACATACTGCACACTACTATCCGCTCCACACCCTGTCCTGTACATACTGCCCACTGTCATACCCTCCACACTCCTCTCCTTTACATACTGCTCACTGTCATAACCTCCACACTCTTCTCCAGTACATACTGCCCACTGTCATACCCACTGCCCACTGTCATACTCTCCACACTCCTCTCCTGTACATACTGCCCACTGCCATCTGTTCCACACAACTCTCCTGTACATATTGAACACTGCCACCCCCCCTCCACACTCCTCTCCTGTACATACCCCCCACTGTCATACCCTCCTCACACCTCTCCTTTACATACTTCCCACTGCCACTCCCCCCCCACACCCTCTCATGTACATACTGCCCACTGTCATACTCGCCACGCTGCTCTCCTGTACAAACTGCCCACTGTCATACCCTAAACACTCCTCTCCTGTACATACTGCCCACTGGCATATACTCCTTTTCTGGACATACTGCTCACTGACATACCCTCCACACTCCTCTTTAATGAGGGCACGGAAGGTATAGAAGGATTACAGAGGGAGGACACTGTGAGAGAGGACCAACATAGCGGGGAGATGAGACTGGAGTAGGAGGATGGAGGAGGATGACATGGGATGGAGGAGGACATGAAATAGCGGAGGAGAATATGTGATGTAGGAGGATCAGGACATGGAATGGAGGAGAAGGACATGTGATGGGGTAGATGAGACTGAAAGAGGAGGATGTAGGAGATGAAACTGGAAGGGGAGGGGATGGGGGGGGGGGTGGAATTGGAGAAGGGGGACATGGGATGGAGATGTGGGACTGAAGGAGGAGAACATGGGATGGAGGATATGTTAGGTTATAAGAGTGTTAAAATTAAAGTGGGTGCACTGAAGGACTTGGTGGGATGGCCAGCGTTTGGATTCAGTGGGATGGCCAGTGGGCAGGCCCAGAGTAATGTTTGTGGTCAGGCTGGGGGGGGGCAGGCCTAAAGCTGTGTAAGGGGCCACAAACTTTCTGATGGCTGCCCTGGTATATACTGTATATTGAAATTTACCTGTACTTTCTAACTGCCTATCACAATTCTTGAGGTGCTAAAATGCCAGGGCAGTACACCCCCCCCCAATTGACCCCTTTCTGGAAAGTAGACACCCCAAGGAATTTGCTGAGATTCATGTTGAATCCATCGAAGATTTTTTTTGCCACAAATTTTTGGAAGATTACTATTTTTTTTTTTTTCACACAAAGTTGTCAATTAAATGATATATTGCTCACACATGCCATGGAAATATGTGGAATAACACCCCAAAACACATTCTGCTACTTCTCTCGAGTATGGGGATACCACGTGTGAGACTTTTTGGCAGCCGAGCCACATACAGGCAACCAAAATCTGATGACCACCTCCAGGCTTTCAAAGGGCATATTCCTTTATCACACTACCTATCACCGTTTTGGAGGCCCTAAAATGCCAGGATAGTATTAACATCCCCCCCTTTTTGAAAAGTAAACACCCCAAGGAATTTGATAAGAGGCATGGTGAGTATTTTGCACAGGGTTTTGAAAAAGGAAAAAAAAAGAAAAAATACATTTTTGCTTTTCTTTCTATATTTTCCAAAAACTTGTGGCAACAAGTGAGATTCGCCAACCACACACCATGCCCCTTAGCAAATACCTTGGAGTGTCTACTTTCCAAAAAGGGGTAGTTTGGGGGGTGCTTCTACTATCCTGGCATTTCAGGGCCAACATTAGACGCTTATGCCACACATCAGCCACTATACTAACCACTTGAAGACCAAGTCTTTTCTGCCACTTCTTGTTTAAAAACCATTTTATTTTGCTAGAAAAATACTTTGAACCCACAAATATTATATATTTTTTTAAAGCAGAGGCCCTTGAGAATACAGTGCGTGTTGAAATTTCTTATGTCATACAGTATTTGCACAGTGATTTTTCAAACGCACATTTTTAGAATTTTAATGCACTGAAACACAATATGTTCCCAATTGTTTGATACATTATAATAGCTGATGTTACGCTGAGTAAATAGATACCAAACATGACATGCTTTAAAATTGCACAACCCCATGCAACGGCAACAAACTACGTAAATTGTTAATATCCATAAGCAACACTTTAAAAGCCTTTACAGGTTACCACTTTAGATTTACACAGGAGGTCTGTTGCTGAAAATTACTGCCCTTGATCTGACATTCACAGTGATACCTCAGATCATGCATGATGCCATCTCTGTTAAGAAACATAGAAAAGTGATGGCAGAAAAAGACTGAGTGGTCCATCGAGTCTTCATGTTTTGTGTGTGTTTTTTTTTGGGGGGGGGGGGGGGTTTTTGTTTTTTTTTTGTTCACTTTGGTTTTTTTTTTGGGGGGGGGTTCTTTTTGTTAACTTTTATTTGTCTGAGTATACGATCTATGCTTGTCCCAAGCATGTGTGTAGCTATTTACTGTTGACTGTCTCACTACCTCTACTGAAAGTTTTCTCCAAGCATCAACTGCTCTTTCACTAAAATAGTACTTTCTAAGATTAGTTTTGAACTTTCCTCCAGTTAATTTAAGGTCATGTCCCCATGTTCTTGATTTTGGTTTCCTGTTGAAAATACTGCTCTCCTGAACCTTATTCACCCTTGATGTATGGTTTCAGTCATGTTTCCCCTTTCCCTTCTTTTCTCCAAACAAGTGTACATATTAAGTTCCTGAAGTCGCTCTTGATATGTTTTATCCTCCAGACATTTCACCATTTTTGTTACCCGTCTCTTTTGTAAGTGAGATCTCCAGAACTGGACACAGTATTCTAAATGAGGTCTAACTAAAGATCTAGATGGGAGAATCAGGACCTTCTTCCTCCTGCTGGTGACCCCTCTAGTGATTCATCCTAGAATTCTATTCTCTTTCCCCACTGCCTGGCCACATTGTTTGCTCATTTCGCAATCATCTGAAATAAGTACCCCCAAGTCCTTTTCTGAAGTGCTGGCCAACACTGTACCCCCAATGTTGTACTCTCTAAAGGGATTCTTTTTCCCTAGGTGCATTATTTTACATTTAGAAACACTGAACTGCAATTTCCACTTTTTTGACCAGTCTTTCAACAATACCGACAAGGGACCGACACTTGCGTTAGTTAGCCTTTTTTTTTTTCTTAACACTGCCCTTTCACTTTTTTTTTTATCACTTTTATTGTTATCACAGGGAATGTAAATATCCCCTTTGATAGCAATAGGCAGTAACAGGTACTCTTTTCTGAGAAATCTATTACAGTCTATTAGACTCTACATCTCTCCTCTGCCCTTAAAGCATCTGATCACACCAAGATCAGATACTTTCCCAATTTTAAAATTGTGCTGTTTATATCCGGCAAAACCAAAATGATGAAATGCTCATTGTTTCCGGTTTCTTGGACCATAGAGATGCTTGGAGCCATTCTGGTTTCTGATTAGCTCTATGGTCAGCTGGTGGAACTGTTGGCTACTTTCTCAGGTTCCCCAGTGGAACTGGAGAGCCCGAGAGAGCCGTAGAAGGCGGCAAGAGGGGGACGTCCCTTTCTGCTGTTTGTAAAAGCGAACAAGCAGTGAATTAGCCACTAGGATTGCGTTTAAATGAAAGCCGACCGCCAGGTGAAGAAAATGATACCAGGATGATGGCTGTAGCTGCAGGCATCAATCTGGTATAGCCACTCAAAATCCAGCGATGTACCAGTACATTGCTGGTCCTTGTGCGGCTTATACACTCACTGGCTACTTTATTAGGTGCACCTTGCTAGTGCAGCACTACCACCTTAGGAGTTGCTGAACTTTTGGTCCTTCTCTGCACAGCGAGGCAACATGCATTTCCTTGCACACTTTGCAAACAGGAGTCATTAAACAGTTCTTGAACTTTTATTAAGGGGTTTAGAACTTGGATGGGGTCTAAGGGGGGCTTCCGATACCCCCGTAAGGAACTGCAGAAAAACTGAGGACAAACTCCTTAGCAACTATGTAAAAAAAATGTAGATAGCAACAGTCTCTCCTTTGAGAACTGACACCAGAAACACACAAAAGGCTCTCCTCCTCAGACCCTGTATGTTTCCTTCTCTTCACCCAGCTGCCTTGAGGGTGGTGTACCTCCTCAGACCTTGTATGTTTCATTCTCTTCTGACACCAGCTGCCTTGAGGGTATAAAATCCCTGGGCAAGGGGGTACCGTACTGACACCAAGATGCATAGCTGGAAGTTTAGCACAGTCCTGGTCTATGATGTGTAGAGATGTGCCTGCTCCTACAGTCCCCTAGGGTTGCCACCTTTTCCTCCAAAAAATACCGTCCATCACTGAATTTATCTTTCCTGTTCCTCATGCACAGGAGGGGCGCTCTCGATCGGCCCGCTGAGCGCTGAGCAATTGCGTTCTGAAATAGTTTAGGTGGGCTCAGGTGGGTGAGGATAGTTTAGGTGGGCTCAGATAGTTTAGGTGGGCACAGGTGGTTGGGACTGGGGAGAGAGTTTTAGAGCAATCTGATCTTTTCAGGGAGCCGAGCGCAGCTTACCTACTCCAAGCTTACGGCCCCTTTGTCACTGCCGTTGATGTCGCCGCGCCGCCCCCCGATGGCGCCGGCGGGGGGGGGCGGTGACGTGCATAGTGTCTTCATCGGCCCCCCGATGTTACACGCTGGCGGTGGGGGGGGGGGGGTGAAGCGTGGTCTTCAGCGGCAGTGACAGGTGCCCGCGCTTCACACCTGTCACTTTCGCTCGTCAGCTCTGCCAAGGAGACGATAGGATAGAGGAGATCCATCCTTCCAGAATCCTGCCTGCAGGTGGACTCCCTTCCCTGGAGCCCCCTCCCAGGCTCCACACTCCAGCTCTTCACTCCATTGTCCATCCAATACTCACTGACTCTGTCCCCAGCCTCCTGCCAGGGGATTGGCCAAGGTCCTTTATGCAACCATATCTGAGCCTCCTGCCCTCCCGTGTCCCTTCTTCTTAAAGTTCTTGGGTTTCTGATATTTTGTGAATTAAATATTTTTTTATTCCCAGTATTTACATTTTTTAATTTATTTGTGTATTT